GTTTCCAAATAATTTTCAGCATCCAAAGTCCTGAATTTCTCGCTGAGGCTTCCATTGTAACCTTGATAATGAAGCCAATGTTAGTGATGCAGAAGAGGAAGCAGTTACAGTTCAGCATTTAGAGAGCTTGCCACATACCAAAACAATATTAAGGAATCCATGAATGGCTCTCCCAACATAAACTCAAAGCAACACAACAACTTGATCTACCTGCTCAAGATCACAATTCTATCACGAAAGAGGAAAGGATCTTGTTGATGGGTACCAAAGTGGGAAGAGTCATTATCCTTTAGGGATATAACAGTGGGTGAACTGCTCATGTTCCCGTTAGTGTTAACTGTATGGACATCAGGACATAAACCCATGGGACTATTAATAAAAATAAAAAGGAGAATGTGAAGTCTGAGAGCAGACAGGTGGGTATACTATAGGAAGTTGAAGAGAGACAGTGGCAATTAGATGTGACCAATAGACAGTATATAAGTGTATGAAACTTTTAAAGAATAAAACTGTTATTTTAAAAGTAAATTTAAATCACTCCCTATATTCTTTCTGTTTATAAGCACCTCCTATAACCATGTCTATTTTCGGAGGATCTACCATAACTCTTCAACCTTCCTTCAGCCTCTTTGTATCTAACATAGTCAAACCTTTAAAATGCAAACCGATTCATTTACTTTGACCAAATGCCTTGAATGGCTTCCATTTTAACTAACACTCAATATTTCTGGACAAGAAAAATGACTCAGCAGTCAAACAAGCTTGCCACTAAGCCGGCTTGAGATTGATCCACTGAATCCACATAATGGAGGAGAAAATCAAATCCTACAAGAGATTCTATGGCTTCCACAACCTCACCATTATACCAGCTTGATGACTCAGTTTTACACACACACATGCACACACACAAACTCACACAAACACGTGTTTATGCATGCACACCTGCACAGGCACATGCACACACAAGCCCAAGCAGAAATGAATAAATGTAATATAAAGAAACATATGTGGGTTTTTTTTTGCCATAACACAACAGGGGTTCACCTTTTTCTGTTGTTAGTCACTTTATTTCTGTACAAATAAATTGCATTGTTCCTTACTTTTCCCTCTGTGAAATGTTCCTTTCAGGATAACCACCACAACATATTCTCCCTCTACTTTGGTATTTCTTCTCAGCAACTACTTATTTCAAAAACTTTTCCCAAAATAAAGATACATCCTCCCCCAGCCTCTTATCCATTTTATTTATTTTCTTTACTTATTCAACTTATCAAAATATTTGTTTGATATTTTTATTTAATATCTGTGCTGCCTCCACTTTCTCTTCACTTCCCACTTATATGTAAGAACTTGTTTCCTGGTCTTGTATTTAATATTACAACCATAATGTTTAGAAAAGAGTCTGGTTTATAGTAAGTGTTTAATAAATATTTATCGTTTAACCTGGCTCATTCTTGTCAACTTTGTCTCCATGCTTCAGTGAAACTAAGTCTGCTTGATCCTCATCTCTTGCCTTGGTTTATGTTCAAAGATAACTATAGTCCCTGCTTCCCCAATACACACAGGCCTCTAAACTAACTCTTAAAAAACTTCACAAACACATGACCTAGCTTAGTTATACTACTGTGTGAGAATTTAAGTTCTGAAACACTACAGAACCCATGAGTTTTCTTTTTTGTATGCACAACTGAAGACTATAAATACTAAATGTACTCATAGTATGATAGGTATAGAATATCAACATATTTTGTGTATTTGTCATATTAAGATTAAAAACATAAGAGAGTAAACATAAATATGATACCATTAAATATATAGTAGTTGAATGTATAATACGATTCAGTATTATGTTAATACTAAATGTATAGTCTTTTCTTATGACATGCTAATCTAAATAATACTTTCATTATTTTTACTAAGTGATATTATTTATGATTTTATCATGTTTACTTCCTTGAATTCTGTTCCCATAGGTAATCCCTTTGATTAGTTTGTTTCTGCTCAACGCTGCACCTACACATGGTCCTCAGTCTGGAATGCCCCGTGAGCCAGAGTTAGAAGATTGTGAGGTTGATTCTCCGGCTTACTCCTTTCTACTGATGACATAATCACATGATTTTTTTTTCTGTTAAGTGTATGAATGTAACTCCCCACTAAAGCAAGGCAGCATATGTTCCACTGTAGGCATCACACCAGCCCACAAGCAGAGAGAAAATATTCTCTCCTAACAACTTGATTCATAACTCCCTGATTTATTACAGGCATCAGTCATTTGCTGGTGGCTATTACACTTAGAATTAAAATATCCATGAGTTTTGCAGTTCATTGTCATTTCTCTAAGTGGCAGAAGGACATGGAAGAGACAGGGTCTTATGATGAAGTCCATGTGTATGTATTAATCTGAAAAGCCACTGTGAGAATCAAGATGAAATGAATTGTGTTTTGTGCTCTGTTGGCAAGAACCACACGAAGAAATGTACATCCTCTCTACTGACAAGAACTGTGTGGGCTTGTAAACTTCTGAGCATAGAAAGGCTCCAAGGTATTGGTGGAAAGTGACACATGCCATAGTCTCTCACAGCCTGACCCAAAATAAGGATGACCAAAAGAGCTGACTTGTGTTATGCTTCTCTCTCTCTGATTTTCTCTCTCTGTCTCTTTGTCTCTGTCTCTCCATATCTCTCAGTATCTCTCTCTGTCTTTCTCTCGGTCTCCCTTTCTTTCCCTCCCTCTCTCTGTCTCTCTTTGTCTTCCTCATTCCCTCTCTCCCTCCTTCCCTCCCTCCTCTCTCTCTCTCTCTCTCTCTCTCTCTCTCTCTCTCTCTCTCTCTC